CAGGCGGAGCCAGTCCGCCACTCGGGGACGACGTGCAAGGTCGTGACCAACATGCAGATCCTGGGGGATCCAGACAGCCGCCAGCATCGCAATCGTGTGACGTTGACGTGGAGCAAGGGGACGGGAAACATCGCTATCAGGACGGCGGCCATCATCGAGGATACGGCATTGCTGTACATGCAGAGCCTGGACAGTGCCTACCTCGCGGTGCTGGACGGCAGGGGCCCAGAGGTGCTCGAGGGCATGGAGTCCGTCATGGAGAGCCTACGCGTGCCGATACAGCACTCGTACGAGGGCGTACCAGGTCAGTCAGATTCGGACGCGTGGAGCGTCATTTCTACGAAGCTACCCGAGGACCAGGAGTTCGTCCGGGCAATCGAGAACCTGTGCGAGTGGGGGAACCAGGAGCTGGCGGACTACGAAGATCAGCGCCTGAAGTTCATCAAGATGATGATCCGCGAGTTCAAGGCGCCCCGTGACTTCCTCCTTGCGACGGTCGACGAGGGCATGGAGGACGGGGAGGCCGAGCAGCCGCCGCCGGCCGCTGTCACCCCCTCCTCGACTCCTCCGGCCTCGAGGAGCCGGGTGCCGCCCAGGGCGACGTGAGCGGGAGGGCTTTGTTGCCAGACTGTTGTGCAGCCTCAATGACGCACCATTTTTTGTTTTTAGTCAGTGCTGATCTCAGGGCCCGGGGAGGCCTTGGTATGTCTAGATCTGTCGTGCATTTGCGTGTTATCTGTTATGCATGTGCGTGTTGACGCTGCAGCATTTTGGCTTGCCACAGGAGTGGAAAAGAGGGTGCAGGTGCTCCCTCCTCGAAGCCCAATCTGCACCCCCCCTCCAGAAAACCAGGGGGTGTCACTACTGGTTCGAACCCCTTCCCCCGCCCCCCTCCAGAAAACCAGAGAACCAGGGGGGGTCACTGCCGGTTCGAACCCCCCCCCCCCGCCCCACCCCTCACGCTCACCGCTGGCAAACGACTCCCGTGTCCCTACCACCGTCCGCACCACATCCCCCACTGCTGTCCCCAGCGCCACTGTCCTCACCACCACTGTCCCCACTGTTCCCACCACCGTTCCCACTGTCCCCACCAGTGCCCCCACCACTGTCCCACTGTCCCCACTGTCCCCACCACTGTTCTCACCACGGTCCAATTCTCCCTGGTTTCCCCACGGCCCCAACCACTGTCCCATTGTCCCCACTGTCCCACTGTTCCACTGTCCCCGCCGCTGTCCCACTGAGCTGTCCCACTGTTCCCACCGCTGTCCCCACTGTACCTCTGTCCCATTGTCCCACCGCCGTCCTCGCCACCGCCCTCACCACTGTCCCCACCACCACTGTCCCCACCACTGTCCTACTGTCCCCACCACATTCCCACTGTTCCCACGCCACTGTCCCCACCTCCACCGTCCCCACCATTGTCCCACAGTCCCCACCACTGTCCCACAGTCCCCACCACTGTCCCACTGTCCCCACTGTTCCCACCATTGTCCCCGCTGTCCCCACCAGTGCCCCCGCCAGTGTATCACTGTCCCCACTCTCCCCCCCATTGTCCCACCACTGTCCCACTCTCCCCACTTTCCCCACGGTCCCCACCACTGTCCCACTGTCCCCACTGCACCCACCACTGTCCCACTGTCCCCGCCGCTGTTCCACTGTCCCACCGTCCCCACTGTCCCCACCACTTTCCCACTGTCCCCACTGTCCTCACCAGTCTCCCCACTGTACTACTGTCCCACCACTGTCCTCACCACCGCCTTCATTACTGTCCCCACCACTACCGTCCTCACCACTGTCCCACTGTCCCCACCACTGTCCCGCTGTCCCCTCGCCACTGTCCCCACCACCACCGTCCCCACCACTGTCCGCACCACTGTCTCACTGTCCCCGCACCACTGTCCCCACCACCACCGTTCCCACCACTGTCCCAGTATCCCCACCATTATCCAACTGTCCAGGGGAGCGGGAATCGTTTGCCGGCGGCGATGGGGGGGGTGGGGTGGTTCGAGCCGGTAGTGACCCCCTCCCTTTTCATGATGGACTGGGGGGGTGGGAGGGGTTCGAACCGGTAGTGACCCCCTCCCGGTTTTTGAGGGGGGGGACGGGTTGGGAACCCTCAGTGACCCCCCCCCGGTTTTCCGCCATACTATATGTGTGTCGCCCCCCCCAGGGGCGACGCGCGCACCGAGAAATCTCATAATACATGCGTCGTGGCGGGCGCTCTCTGGCCGCACCGCTCGGGAAACGATATACTACAGGATGGGTGTACTATATGTTCGGGTCGGCCGTGCGCATCCAAGGAGAACATATAGTACGGTCGAGCATCTGATTAAGAAACCTCCTCCCGACAAGCTGGGCCAGCGTTCCTTGACCAACTTGCCTGAAAGCTGGCCCAGTTTCTTTCGCACGTTCGCTCCTCTGGCGCGCACAGCAGGCCTTTGCCCAGGCTTGCTTCGAGAAACATCTCCAGGAGGCCGGCCCAGAGTTCCTGATTGATCAGTTCCTCGGTCACATTTTCGGCTGTGCTCGCGTGTCTCTGTGCGTCTGGCTTTGCCTCCCCTCGGCCTCGCCCTGAGGCCCCGCCGCTTTCTCCTCCCCTCCCTCCGCCTGATTCAAGCTCCGCGCGGCCCGCTTAGCTTCGACCGGAAGAGGTGCGCTCTCGACCCGCGGGTCAAAAAGTTTCTGTGCGTCCCCGAACTCCAGGGGGTGGGGCGCGCCGCGCCGTCCCCCTCGGGGGCCTCGTGCGCCCGGCCCCTCCCCTCCTCTGCCCATGGCCCTGCCGCGCTCCGCCCCGGAGGGAGCAGCGCGCCCAGCGGCGCACCCGCGTCGACTCCGGCCAGCCCGCGGCCCCCTTTGCTCGGGGGCCTCGAGGCGGGGGCCAACACGGACGGGGGGCAGCCAGAGCGCCCGACCTTGCCCCAGAAATGCTCGGGCCGTAGAACATTCAGGACGGAGTTTTTTTTTTTTTTTTTTTTTTTTTTTTTGTTTTTTATTTTTTTTTTGTTGCCGTTTTCGGGCTCTGGAGGCCTTCGCCGGGCCTCGGGACCTTCAAAAAACGACTCAGGATGAAAATCTGGCCCCGGGGAAAGGGTCGGGACTTCCGGGGGCGCCGTCCTGAACAGAGTCAGGACGTCGCATGTCTGGGGACGGGGGTCAGCCGGAGCGCCCGATCTTGCAGCATCCTGCAGGAGGCCAGGGTCGCACCGACCCGGGCTGGGGCGCAGGACATCCTGCAGGACTTTGCGCAGGCCTGGGTTTGGGCGCAGGATCCTGCGGGGTCCTGCAGGATCCTGCTGGGCCCGACGGGCCCGGGTCTGGATTGACCCGGGTCACCCACATCGATCCCGGCCAGCCCGCGACCATCTCGGCAATCAGCAGATCGTAGGAGCCTTTGTGCAGAGGGGGCGCGCAGTAAGCGGCCATCTGCTTGTCGTCAGGGTGCCCTCGAGTCGGGCGCGTCCCTCTGCAGGAGGAGTGCTCAGAAGGAGTCCAAACATAAGCCAGGGACAGTCTTGGGTGATTTTTCGATTCTGTTTGGCTATTTTTCATTCTTCGGCCCAAATATCACCACCCACCAAACCACCCCAACCCAACCCGAAGGCCCAAATTTAGCCTCCATTTCCAGTGGGGGGGGGGTCGGGGAACGTTGAAAAAACACATGGAATCCGTACCCCCCCAACCCGAAATTCGGGTCAAATTCGGGTCTTCGGGTTGGGTTGGGGTGGTCTGGTAGGTAGTCAAAATATCCGCCTACAGGGAGTACATACCCGACATGAGGGTACCCTGGGTTTCTTCGCTCCGCGCGCTGCGCGGTGACTTCCCGCGGCCGTCGAAGGAGCCGCTCCGCTCAGGAGGCTCCGGGTCTTCCCTCCGGTGCACCTCGCGCGCGGGCTTCCGGGGCCGGGCTTTCTGCTGCGGGGGTTTCTGTTGCGGCCGCGTGATCACACTGTGTGCCGAGCGAGTGGGCTTCGACGAGCGCGAGGGAATCGGGGGGGCAGCGCCGACGCAGCGTCGAGGAGCGCCGACGCGAGGGAGCCATCAGGAGGGTCTGGGAGGCTCCCGCGAGTCGCCGCAGCACGAGCCCGGGCCGAGGAGCGACGCGGCCAGGATCGGCGTCGAAGTGTGTGCGGGCGGCAGGCGCGGGCCGCGGGGCCGCGGCCGCGGCCCCAGGGCGGGCGTTCCAGGTTGACCGCCGCCAGGGCGGCCAACCCACGCAACAATCGGGAGCGGAAAAGAGAGGGGTGATGACTAGGGGGGGGTGGATATCATGGCGCGGGCCATGCTTTTTCCCCAGATTGCATGGCGCCTCTTCTTCTTTCATTACGTCCCTGGCCCCCCCGCTGGGCCGCGCACATGCCGCCGGTCATGATTTGCACCCCCCCCCTCTTGGACGCCCCCCTCTTTGCCGCTCCCGAAACAAGGATGGACAGCCTTGCCAAAGGTACCCTGGCGTCCTTGCCTCCGCGGTCCATGCTTGGCCGCTCTCGCTGGCCGCGCCCCGTTCGACAAGCTTCGAAGCGGCCTTCCAGGGCCCTTGCGTCCTCATCGTGCGTCCCTGCTATACGGATTGACTGTAGCCCAGAGTCGGCCAATGTGGAACGCTTGCGGGAGATCGGCCCAGACCTGCGACGTCCTGATTTTTCAGGACGGCGCCCCTGGAAGTCCCGACCCTTTCCCTGGGGCCGGTTTTTCATCCTGAGTCGTTTTTTGACGGTCCCGAGGCCCGGCGAAGGCCTCCGGAGCCCGAGAACGGCGAAAAACCTCCGTCCTGCATCTTTTTTTTTTTTTTTTTTTGTTTTTTGTTTTTTTTTCCGACGCGAGCATGTCTGGGGAGGAGCCGCCGATCGTGGAGGGCTGAACGACCCACGCGGTGTCAGAAACCAGCGCCGGGGCCGTTGTTGCGGCGCAGCCCTCCGCAGTGGGGGCCCCTCCTGCCCTCCTCCCCCCCTATCCGAGGCTGCCCCCCGCGGAGCGCGCGTCGCCGCCCGGGCCACCGCGAGGTGTCGGCCCTGGAGGCGCACCGCGAGATCCACGCGAAGAGGCGAGGCAAGCTGTCCGTGCAGGCGCGGGAGGGTCGGGGGTGGACGGGCCTCCTACCCTGACACGTCGATGAAGGACTCGGCCGTTTTCGGCTCGCGAGGGGGCGTCGCGGCCGTCCTTTCTCTGGGTCCAGGTCCGGCGGTTTCGGTCCCAGGCCGTGTTCCCTGAGGGGAGGCGTATACTAAAGGGAGGTTTGTCCACCGCCGAGAGGGGATGGGGCCGCGCGTGCCGGCGGGGGGGGGCGGAGGCGGCCCGGCACTGATTCTGGCCAGCGGGAGGGGTCTGGGCCTCCTCCAGATGAGGTCGGAGTGGGTGGGGAGGATCGCGCCGCATGGCCGATGCATCGGCGATGCGGCCCGATGTGGAACCCGATTGTCTCCACGCTGTCGTCGCCGATGCACCGTCGACGTCGCCGATGCATCGTCGATGCATGGGCGATGCGGCGCCATCCTCCGACCCATCTGCTCGGACCCCGTCTGGGAGGCCCCTCAAGGGGAAGACAGGCCCCCCCTCCTGTCGCCACGGGGGCTGGTCGCGGCTGGAAAAACTGGTCCGCTTCGACCCTGGGAGGGATCTGGGGGCAGATTTGAGGAACTCTGCTCTCGTGCCCCCGGGCCCCCCCGAGATCCGACGACGCGAAAAATTGCAACGTCGCGAGAAGTCACGACCGGAGCCCCAGACCTCGTGTTTCTGCTGCACTTTTCGAGCCGCGTCGGTGAAAGCGGAGCTACGACATCAGCTGCACGCAGTTGGTTTCGGCCCCACCGCTGGGCCCATTCCTCTCGATACACGGGCGCCTCCCGGGCGCGAGGAGGCGCTAGGAGAACCAGCTGCGTGAGCTGGTTCTCTATCCTACCTTCTGCTATCCTACCTTGTCGTCCCCACCTCGGATAGTCTCAAGTCGGGCCTGTCCCTCTACAGGGGGGAATGTTCAAGAATAGTAAAATTATCCCGGCAAAGCAACCTAACAGCCATATGTAAAAGCATATCTGAAAGCATTACCCTTAAGATTCAGATGGAAATCCAGTTGTAGAATTCTGCTGTTCTCGCAGTCGTAGTCGCATTCGCGATGACAGTCGCAGCGGCAACGGCAGTCGCAGTCACAGCCTCAGCCTCAGCCTGCCTCAGCCTCAGCCTCAGCCTGCCTCAGCCTCAGCCTGCCTCAGCCTCAGCCTCAGCCTGCTTCAGCCTCAGCCTCAGTCTGCCTTCAGCCTCGGCCTCAGCCTCAGCCTGCCTCAGCCTCAGCCTGCATCAGCCTCAGCCTCAGCCTCAGCCTGCCTCAGCATCAGCCTGCTTCAGCCTCAGCCTCAGCCTGCCTCAGCCTCAGCCTCAGTCTGCTTCAGCCTCAGCCTCAGTCTGCCTTCAGCCTCGGCCTCAGCCTCAGCCTGCCTCAGCCTCAGCCTGCCTCGGCCGCAGCATAAGCCTGCCTCAGCATTCAAAATGTGGCCCAGGAATGGAGTTCTGGGAACTCGAAGAACACGAAGTGGCCTACAGTTGGCTCCGGGCATTCAAAATCATGCCCAGAAATGGAGTTCTGGGAACTCGAAGACCACGAAGTGGCCTACAGTTGGCTCCGGGCACCCAAAATGTGGCCCGGGAATGGAGTTCTGGAAACTCGAAGACCACGAAGTGGCCTACAGTTGGCTCCGGGCATCCAAAATGTGGCCCCGGAATGGAGTTCTGGGAACTCGAAGACCACGAAGTGGCCTACAGTTGGCTCCGGGCACTCAAAATGTAGCCCGGGAATGGAGTTCTGGGAGGTCGAAGAGCACGAAGTGTGTGACTGTTGACGAAAAACGACCCCGGGTTTGTTCCCGGTTCTCCAGAATGTGGCCCGGGAATGGAGTTCTGGGAGGTCGAAGAGCACGAAGTGTGTGACTGTTGGCGAAAAACGATTCCCGGTTCTCCTCCCCGGATGCCGCCCCGACCCCCCTCCGGAGTCATGATGCTCTCTTTTGACCCTACTAGAAACCTATCAGCACAAGCTGTTAGGTAAAAAACAGTCTGGGGACTATTTTTTTGTATTCTTTGACCATTTTGGAGTATTTGTTTTTGACTCTTTTTCCCAACCATCCTGTGGTGTTGGGTCCTCGTTTTGAAGAGACAGCGCCCCGCGTCCACTCCTCCCGCTGCCCCCTCCTCCCTCCTCCCCCTCCTTGCCTCTGCTCTCGGCATTCTCTCACACGTTTCGTAGCCCCATAGGGAGCTCCACCGAAGGCCCCAGTGGGGGTGTCCACATGCGGTTCCCCCACCCAGGGCAGCGCTTCGTAGCCCCATAGGGAGCTCTCCCGAAGGCCCCAGTGGGGGTGTCCACATGCGGTTCCCCCACCCAGGGCAGCGTTTCGTAGCCCCATAGGGAGCTCCACCGAAGGCCCCAGTGGGGGTGTCCACATGCGGTTCCCCCACCCAGGGCAGCGTTTCGTGGCCCCATAGGGAGCTCCACCGAAGGCCCCAGTGGGGGTGTCCACATGCGGTTCCCCCACCCAGGGCAGCGTTTCGTGGCCCCATAGGGAGCTCCACCGAAGGCCCCAGTGGGGGTGTCCACATGCGGTTCCCCCACCCAGGGCAGCGTTTCGTAGCCCCAGAGGGAGCTCCACCGTAGGCCCCAGTGGGGGTGTCCACATGCGGTTCCCCCACCCAGGGCAGCGTTTCGTAGCCCCATAGGGAGCTCCACCGTAGGCCCCAGTGGGGGTGTCCACATGCGGTTCCCCCACTCAGGGCAGCGTTTCGTAGCCCCATAGGGAGCTCCACCGTAGGACCCAGTGGGGGTGTCCACATGCGGTTCCCCCACCCAGGGCAGCGTTTCGTAGCCCAATAGGGAGCTCCCCCCCCCTTTTTCCCCTCTTTTTTTCCACCCCTTTTTTTTTTTTTTTTTTTTTTTTTTTCCTTTTTTTTTTTTTTTTTTTTTTTCTTTTTTTTTTTTTTTTCCCTTTTTTTTTCAACCGAAGGCCCAGTGGGGGTGTCCACATGCGGTTCCTACCACCCAGGGCAGCGTTTCGTAGCCCCATAGGGAGGCTCCACCGAAGGCCCCGTGGGGGTGGCCGCCATGCGGTTCACCCCACCCAGGGCAGCGTTTCGTAGCCCCATGGGTAGCTCCACCGAGCCCCAGTGGGGGTGTCCACATGCGGTTCCCCCCACCCAGGGCAGCGTTTCGTAGCCCATGGGGAGCTCCACCGAAGGCCCCAGTGGGGGTGTCCACATGCGTCCCCCACCCCGGCAGCGTTCGTAGGCCCAATAGGGAGCTCCACCGAGGGCCCCAGTGGGGGGTGTCCACATGCGGTTCCCACCCAGGGCAGCGTTTCGTGGCCCCATAGGGAGCTCCACCGAAGGCCCCAGTGGGGGTGTCCTCATGAGGTTCCCCCACCCAGGGCAGCGTTTCGTGGCCCCATAGGGAGCTCCACCGAAGGCCCCAGTGGGGGTGTCCACATGCGGTTCCCCCACCCAGGGCAACGTTTCGTGGCCCCATAGGGAGCTCCACCGTAGGCGCCAGTGGGGCTGCCGCATGCGGTCCCCCCACACAGGGCAGCGCTTCGTAGCCCCATAGGGAGCTCCACCGAAGGCCCCAGTTGGGGTGCCCGCATGCGGTTCCCCCACCCAGGGCAGCGTTTCGTGGCCCCATAGGGAGCTCCACCGAAGGCACCAGTGGGGGTGCCCGCATGCGGTTCCCCCACCCAGGGCAGCGTTTCGTAGCCCCATAGGGAGCTCCACCGAAGGCCCAAGTGGGGGTATTCGCATGCGTCTCCCCTACCCAGAGGTAGCGCCACCGAAAACGATATTCATATTTGCGATATTCACAACTGCATATGGTTGGGTCCTTCGCCAGGCTAATTTTATTTTTCGTCGAGAATCCCTCTGTAGGGGGACACGCCCGCCTGAAGTCGGGGGCCGCATGCGAACCCTGCCCCTACCCCCCCACGATATCTGACGGGGCGGTGGGGTTCACTTCGCTCGGGAGCTCCCCCGAACGAAGTGAACCCCACCTTCCCCCGTCAGAAATCGTGGGGGGTAGGGGTAGGGTTCGCATGTGGCCCCCGACTTAAGGACATTTTTTCCCAACCATCCTGTGGTGTTGGGTCCTCGTTTTGAAGAAACAGCGCCCCGCGTCCACTCCTCCCGCTGCCCCTCCCCCTCCTCCTTGCGTCGGCGATTCATTCCCAACCATCCTGTGGTGTTGGGTCCTCGTTTTGAAGAGACGGTGCCCCGCGTTCCTCTCCTTCCTCCTCCCTCGCCCTCCTCCCCCTCCTTGCCTTGCTCTCGGCACACCTCCCCGGCGTTTTCGTAGCCCCATTTAGGGAGCTTCAATGAAGGCCCTAGTGGAGGGTGTCCACATTGCGGTCCCCCACCCAGGGCAGCGTTTTCGGTAAGCCCCACAGGGAGCTCCACCGAAGGCCCCAGTGGGGGTGTCCACATGCGGTTCCCACACATGGGCGGCGCTTTCGTGCCCCATAGGGAAGCTCACCGAACCCCAGTGGGGTGTCCACATGCGTTTCCCCCACCCAGCGCAGCGTTTCGTAGCCCCAGAGGGAGCTCCACCGAAGGCCCCAGTGGGGGTGTCCACATGCGGTTCCCCCACCCAGGGCAGCGCTTCGTAGCCCCATAGGGAACTCCACCGAAGGCCCCAGTGGGGGTGTCCACATGCGGTTCCCCCACCCAGCGCAGCGTTTCGTGGCCCCATAGGGAGCTCCACCGAAGGCCCCAGTGGGGGTGTTCGCATGCGGTTCCCCCACCCAGGGCAGCGTTTCGTAGCCCCATAGGGAGCTCCACCGAAGGCCCCAGTGGGGGTGTTCGCATGCGGTTCCCCCACCCAGGGCAGCGTTTCGTGGCCCCATAGGGAGCTCCACCGAAGGCCCCAGTGGGGGTGTTCGCATGCGGTTCCCCCACCCAGGGCAGCGCGTCGTAGCCCCATAGGGAGCTCCACCGAAGGCCCCAGTGGGGGTGTTCGCATGCGGTTCCCCCACCCAGGGCAGCGTTTCGTGGCCCCATAGGGAGCTCCACCGAAGGCCCCAGTGGGGGTGTTCGCATG